TGTTCGCGCCCTTCCTTGCGGTCGTCCCACGTGCGCGCTGTCCACCCAACATCCACCCCTCGCGCACCGCTTATCTCTTTCGCAATGTAAACATCCGAGACCTTAGCCTCCAAGCATCGTGCGTGTCGCTTCCTCGCACACACCTTGCGCCATTCGACCGCGTTACCAAGCCCGCTATCGTACATTCGGCCCCGGCCCATTGCGCATAGTCTTTCCTCCTTTGCCCTAATGTTGCACGCCGATGGACTACCTTCTCGCGTGCCCTTGCGTACATCCATGCGCTCGACCCTTCAAGCCTTGATCTCCCGAGCCTCTTGCTCGATCTCCTATGCCATTGTGCACGTCAGCACCCTCGTATACGGGCTCGTGCACGTTTCCTAGGCCATGCAAGCCTTGTTCCGGCCCTTTGCTTGGCCTTCTCGGATAGTATCGGCCTTCGGACCTTCTCATCTTCGGGGCTCAAAACCCACTTCCGTATCATTCCCGCCCCCTTTGAGAATGTCCTTGTCCTCAGGGACTCATCATTGAACATCCAAACTTCAGGCACTCCTTCTCTAACCCCGCACGCATCCCATTCACGATCCTCCTCGACCAAGACTTTACTCTTGGCATCGATCGTCGGTTGGGACTTCACCTCCTCTTTGATCTTTATGACTTCGAAGGTAACCTCTTCATGGCCCGCTTTGACCGTGACCAACTCCTCCTCTTCTACCTCAACTACCTCGACCTCGGCTACCTTGGCCACATCCGAAACCTTCTCAAGCCTTGGAGCTTCGAAGTACTGAAAAGCACGGTTGAGCCAAGCTTTAGGGTCGTGGCCGGTGAAAGTGGACAACACGAGCTTCGACTTCTCGGGCTTCGGCCGATCATAATAGTTGGACGCTTGGGATCGTCGATCGAAGTCGTCCTCCTGCTCCCGATCCACGCGCCTCCGTTCTTCCCCATCGACCCGCTCGTGGTCTCGCCGCTTTGCATGTTCGGCCCGTTCATGCGCGCATCGTGCCTCGCGTCTAGGCGACGACATGCGTTCCTCGCGCTCTTGCCGCTGCAGTTGAAGCCCGCACAAGATCTCATCCAGACGTTGCTCAAGTCGTGCCACGGCAGTGTTGGTGTTGCCCTGGCCCTCGCCGAGAGATCTAAGTTGCCCTTCCATGGCTTCGCTCATGCTGCGGTCTTGCACGTCAAAGTTGTCGAGCTTGTCCTTCATCTCCTTGTTGGCCATGGCTTTCTTTTCTTGCTTGCGATCTTTGCTTCGAAGACTCTTCTTGAAGATGATGATATTTTTTTTTTTGATAGGGGGGACGAAAAAAGAAGAGAAAAAGAAAGGGAATGGGGTAGAAGAAAAACACACGATCTAACACCTCTCAATGAAAGCACCAATGATGAAGATCGTGTGTTTCGATTGCCGATAAGCCACAAACCAGTGCCTTGAATCGCCGATAGTTGCCTAGAGGTTGACAAACCGCACTCCTCTAAACGAATAAAATTGCAATAGAAATCTAGAAGAAATCTAAGACAAAGTGTTTGAACAAAACTTCGGATTTTTATTGATAAATTCGATGATGAAAAATAACATAGGGAAGGGGCCTTTATATAGGCACTAAATATATCTAGTCCTAATCTACCTAGGGAATTATTAAAGCAATAAAATATTAAAAATCCTAATTAAGCTAGAAATTATTAAGCAATAAGGAAACTAAATAACTTGGCTTGCACTCAAAGTTGGGAAGAAGGATCTAGGAAAATTCAGCTAAAAAAGCCTTCTAGAAGTCCCACTTTCTTGCTGGCCAAGTCTGTCCGTGCGCTGCC